CGTAAAAAATGGTTTAAGAGTAGCAAAATAGCAAAATTTATGCACATTAGAATATGGCAAAACAGAAAAACATGCAATGCACATGCTTACCGCAAATTACTGCAGGTTGTGTGATAAGTAAGCACAAGAATGAGTTCGAAAAGTCTAATATATATATAGATCCGCGAAATTTAGAGTTTTATTAATCCAGCAAGTGTAATGATGCGTCGGGGTCAACAATTTGTCGTCGGGCTCACCAATTTGTTGCGTGCTCTATTTGACTAAATTAGCGTACACGTATTTCCTAGTACTTCTTCACGTTTATTGATGTGCATAGACGTTGTGGCTACTCGACGCCCACAACGTAAAACCAAAAGGCACTTGTGAAGAGTGTAATCGTGTATTACAGCAGTAGTCAAATTTCAAAATTGTGTCAAGGTAATGTTCAACAGTAAATTGACGAATGTTTACAAAGTACATATAAAATCGGTCTGTGTAAACATATAATATAAGTATGCAAATTAGATTAAAAAGCGTATGTTTATAGTTGGTATAGGGGTACTACATGCTCATCTTCTTACTTTTGTGTCCAGCAGGCTGAGCCTTCAATATATTGAGTATAATTTCTCTTATTCAATTTGTCTAAATTTAGCAAAGTATGACATTTAACAGTTTTGTTTACTCCGGCAAGTATTTAAAACATTTGCGACCTGATTGGCAAATTTCTAATCAACATGCAAAAAATCATTATCTTCGATGGCAACTTATACTAATACATAGGATGACCGTTCCTTAGTGGTGACCATGTTTTCACAAAATGCATTTCTGAACATTTTATCAATGTCATTCAACATAATAGGGTGTATTTCTCGAGGGAGACGAAGAGAAGATGTCATCTTGGATTGGTTTTGCTGAAGGTGAGATAGAACTGCGCCACAGGATCTACTGTCAGTTAGTCCTTTATCTGAAGATCCTAGACGAAGAGAAAATATGGTGCGGTAAACTTTGCTGCAAATTTCGTACATTGCATAAACACTAGATTTTGGAATAGCTGTTCAGAATAAAGCCATTACTGTTCTTACTGTTATTATTATTATCATTATTGTTATTATTATTATCGTTATCATTATTGTTAACATTTTTATTATTATTGTTATTATTATTATTATTGTTATGGACATATGTGAGCTTAAGGCCTAAAGCTCAATATATCGAACTGCATTCCTGTGATTTCATGCTGCTGTGTTCGGCCCACTAGACATGGAGTGCTTTGTTTTTCATTGTGTCCCATTGGCGGTTATTCCAAATAGGGGATAATTAGACTACTGGATGAGGACAAACGCACATTGTAGGAGTCATCATGTTCATGCCTATAGGCTCGTTTTGAGCGCCTATTTTACAAAAATGGGAAACTTTTGATTAGTTTTACACTTCTGTGGTATAAAAAAGCAATACTCTCTTGTATTATGTTTGTATTAATGCATCAAAGTACTCTTTTTGGGAGAGTTGGATTTCTGTTCTGAGGAGTTTGTAAGTGCACACGCCAACCTCTAGATGGGCCTTAGACGTCATCACTTACTGAACTTCCCTCCCTCAGCTACCTACCGTGTATGTATTGATGAATGAAGTCGAGGTGAAAGGCTTATGCACTGTTGTGCGCCCTGATATGAATTATATTTATGTAACAAGTGAAAAGCCAACATCAATATGCAGTAACATAGTACAACAACTTCTCTGTCGACAAGCTGGGGTAGCAGGATCGAGGAGTGTGCTTAACGATAGGACAATGAGGGAGAGTGTAACGTGCGAGCAGTCAGGCTGGAAAAAAGAAGATGGTGTAGCGCCGCCATAGTACATGTATGCGCTAAAACAAATGTTCAAATATTCAAGGTGACCTACAATTTTATAAGGTATGTAAGCTCTTTTATTTTGATTCGCGTTGAGTGATATCGTTTATGACACACCGAAGAAATCATGTTACAAATTAGACAAGCGGCTGAATTTTGCGGTGATTATCTGGATTTTGGAGAAGTTGATAGTTAATATTGGTCAGTGGAAAATGTGATACGAGTGGGATTTCTATTGTCACATGGAATGCTGGAATAGGCAACTGCTTACCGCATCAACTGGCATCAGCTTACCTTGATAGCATTTTACGTTGTGACTTGTTTTCCTCCGGTTGCCGCTTGCCAGCGTGTCCTAAGATTGTATTTTGTCTCTCCTGTCACTCTTGTTCACTGCTTTATTCATTGCAGTGTACATTGAGCTCCGCCCCATTTTCTGTTGTGCATGTTAACATTGAGTCATCTCTTTCACCATCCTCCTCCCCTCTCTTCCGTTGGCTTTCAGTTAGGAGACCATTGTGAGGCATTTCTAATCTTGGGTCTTCTTTCTCCATAGAACGGTTGTACACGTTTATTTGAAAGTCACCTTCAGAGAGTTCCGATGTTCTTCTACGCAGTTTTTCCCGGTGATGCCCTATTGTGTCACCGACTTTGCTCTGATATCTGCAGTGAAGGTGTCCCTTATAGTTTTGTCCTTTAGTTTCAGAATGCTGAACTTGAATCGTGGCCTGTATCCAATTTTTCTCAGGCATTTCAGTTTTATCCTGAAGGTTCCTAAAGCTAGATAATGGTCTGAGCTCATATTATCTGCTCCCTTTCTCGACTTTGTATCCAGCAGGCTGGCTTCGTCTCCACTTCCTTGAGATTGAGATGAAATCTATCAGGTTCATGGTGTGGCCGTCAGGCGAAACCCATGTTGCCTTGTGTATATCATTGTGCTTGTACACGCTGCCTCCAATCCCCAGATGACTGAAAGTGTAGAAGTCTGCGAATATTTCACCATTCTCATCCATTTCCCCGAGAGCCTCTCGACTCGTGATGAGTTCCCTTCCTGTATTATCTGCCCCGATTTTGGCGTTCATATCGCCCATGAGGATTTTAATGTCACTATTTAGGATGTTGTCCACTACTGTCTGTTGTTGTCTCTAAAAGTCCTCCTTCTTGTCTTGTTCCGCGTTGTTTGTAGCATTGCGAGTAGCATTGGACAATTGTGACCTATTTCCTTTTTGATTGAAACTTGGTTTTATGTTTGCGCTACCTCTGGGGTATGTGGTACCCGTATCTCCCAAACTTTTTGTCTTTCTGACCCCTTTTTTAGAAATTGTGCTGCCGCTTCCCTTCAGAATTTAAAAAAGGATATTTTAATGGGAAACATCGTTTTCACAAAAGTATTGATTTTTTCTATTAAGGGAAAGCACATTTTTACCGGAGATAATGTTCTTGCATCCTCTTGGACAAAACTTGAATCGAACTTCCGTTTATTTCATTCCATATAATTTTCGTAACTTTGTTTACCACAATTATCACTATGTTGCACAGTGTTTCATTGCTTACTGGTCTTATTACTTCTACACCTATTTTGAGATTTATACATTTCTTGAAATATTTTATAAAGTACAAACCATATTTTGTTACAGATTTTTCACGATTTGACACAGTTAAGAGCCATTGGAAAACCTGGGAGTACTGGACACTGTTCCCTCCATCCTAGTTTGGGACTCCTAGTCAGTATACACCCAGTGGTATTAAACCCCGTACTTCCCGATCACAAATAAAGATCGTAGGCCATAGTCACTGGGACCAGATCCCCAACTTCTTCTAGCTGTGATATATATTTATATAGCGCACTGCAGCACTGTCATATGTTCTTACCAGACTTGGTTACAACTTTCCACTAGAACTCCAGGTAACTTCCTGTACAAAACCAGCCGCTATGAGTGTATCAGAAATTATGAGCGTTAGTTTTCTCAGGATTTGATTGGTTACACAGGTAACAGCCGAGCAGTGCCAAACTAGAACGGAGGAAACGGTTGTCCAGGTTTTTCACGTTTCTCTAACTGACCCGTAACCATCATATCCCTGCAAACCCACACACACTTTGATCGAAAATAGCTATCCCGACAAATTTATCAAGAAACAATGACAAAGAAAGGGAAAAGGACTACTCACTGTTGTAAACAAGAAGCCTTTATATGTACGACTGCAATTCATGGGCGATATACCAAGCGAGATAATTACAAGAAATAAAAATCGTCAAAGAACTTTTATGCTGGCGAACTACACGTATTATTCTCTACCGACGATGGTGCTACCTCGACTGAAAGATGAAGTACCTAGACTAGCCATTCAAATTGATTTCAATTAATGCGCTTGTGGTGGAGCGAGTTATATTGGCCGTTGCTCGGACTTGATTTTCGTGCTCGACACCATATCTCACTATGGCTAAGTAAAGGTTAGTTAAAACTATTAACAGTTCGATATTAGACCATTGTGCAAACCGGTCACAAAGCCAGCGAGAAGAATCCTTCTCTATAATATACCGGTGCCTAACAAATTACCAAAATCGTCGAAGCACCGCATGCTCCAAACGGCAGAGGCTATTGCAATTCGCCTCAAACAACCAGTGCTCTGTGTTCAAAAGAAACAAGTCCATCCCCTACTACTGCCCTGGCCCTCAGTAGAAACTATAAACTCATGAATTTGTACTATTATCTTTCATAATTCTTCTGACATTCAGCTTGTTTTATGTTGGTGCTGTTCAGCTGTAATTTATCAATATTATTGATTTGATGTTATTTAAACATTAATGTCGTTCATAAGACTAATTCATTCATTCATTATAATGTATATGTAATTGTAGAACCTGATGATGAATTTATCGAAAAGAGTTCTCTTTGTTCCGTGTCTATTCTTTTGAAAATTTTAATGGGCATTTTTAATCAATTATTTTTGTCACAGCTCATACCATAAATATATAAGGTTGTACACATTCATTGTAAACTTGGTTGAAAAGAGAGACCCTTCATCGAATCGCTTATTTTGAATTCTCTATATGTCCAAATGGGAATTTCCCCCAAAGCCAACATTTGAAAAAAAATAGTGAACAGTACAATCGGTTTACAACTGTTCTCTTCAATGTTTCTTTATTCAGAACTAAAAAGCAAGCATAGAGATAACGCAGTTATCGATAGCGGATGTTTAGACAAACAAACAAAAAACAACACTAGTTTATCAGCAACTGTAACTATTCAATGTTATATATATGTGTGTGAATGTGTTTGAATTTGTTTAATTTTTTACAAATTTTGTTTAAATAGGTGTGCATCTTTTTGCGCATCAAAATCAAATTGGAATGTTTATTTACATAGTATCATAAATTTGTATGTATGTATGCATATTTTGTCTCATATTCTCTTCTCTATGTCAGTATAAGCATAAATCATCATCTAAGCTGTATGAATAATAAATACCCAATAAAAATATGTCTAAACCAAATATTTCATCTCACATCATTTCAGGCATAATTTGTACATATTAGTGAAGGAAAACGCATGACTTTCCATTCAATAATATTTGTCTTGTTGCTGTCTGTGTAGTGATTGATTTGTCGACTGCAATAGACAGGATTGCACTGATTAACAAGAGAATTATTCCAAACATGGCAGTTAACGGTGCCCAGCCTAAAACAAAAAAGAAATGAGAATAATTCAGAGGGAAAGATATTGTAAGGACAAATACTCGCCGATGACACTGGCTAGTGGTTGCGCTATATCGTGGATTGGTAGTAGTTGGAATTCATGGGCTGGCCATTGGATCATGTTCCAATGGCTTAATGGTCTATGAGCTCACCTTGTAACCGGAAGGTCCTAGGTTCGAACCCCCAGCTGACTAGAGTGAGTACTGGTGAAGAGTCCCAAACTAGGACGGAGGAAACAGCTGTTCAGTACTCCAAGGTTTTCCGGTGGTTCTGTAACGGATTTCAGCTCATAATGAAGTCTTGTAACCAATCAAATCCCAGCAAAGCAACACTTGACTACTCCGTAACTGTCTGACTGACTGACTGGTTTGAACATAGAACTTAGCTCAGAATTACGACAGTTTGAGTTGCCATACTGCATGTATCATATAAACGTAAGGTAAAAAAGAGAAAAAAAGATATTCAAAAATGACAATGTAACGACAGAAGACAAGGGTCAGGCAACAGATCGTTTATTGAGGAAATCAACAGATATTTATATATTTTTATGTACATTATTATTCGTTATTATTAGCAGAGAAACAGCGTCTTCTGATTGGTTGTTTTCTCGCTGAAAGTTAATCTGTCATCTCTTTGTGGCCGTTTCTTTAAGGTAAGACCATATATCTGCAAATCGTATCCGCCCACTCAAAGTCTGCTGTGATTGGTTGTTGAGTTAGTCTCTGTTTTTGTTCTCTTCTCATGACCAAGATTTGCGACGTAAACATTGACGTGAATTTCTGTCTACCAATTCGGCTAACAGACAGCTCTCACCACAACAATAACAAGCAGAAATGTGAGGTGAAGCAATATTAACATGGAGAAACATTAGGGTCTTATTTATATGGCGTATCACAAATAGTGAGTGCATCTGTGCCACTGAGAATGATTTTGAGTCACATCACCAATCGTCTTCAGCCATTGGTTCTTAGAATCCCGAGGATGCCCACAAGGCAGTCTACACCTGCCTACTTGGCTGGCTCAAACTAACTGTCAGGAATTTCATGTACTGGTACCTGGTGTTGATTTGACCACCACTAGCTCTCTTTCCCAGCCTCATCCTATGTCAGCTAACATTGACCGTCGAAGAAAACGATGGTTAGTCATGCATAACAAATGTCCTGAACATCTCAATTGATGTAGCTTACCAGCCGCATTGGTTGAATTTCCCTCCTTACCTAACACTCGATGCCCAACCTCAGTATTACTCACCCTATTGTATCACCTAAAATGGGTGATAGAACGCAGACACCTATGATCAAAGACAGCTAGTCCTTTGGTGTCTTCCATTTTCAATGGCCATTTCTCACAGCTATAAAGAAAGACGTAGTGAACTGTCGAGCAGTACACATATCCTTTGTTCGATAGGCAACCAGATATCCCTTCTACGCCAGAGATAATGCAAGTTGGTGAATACCACACCAGAACTTTGTATTCATGCCCACACCTAATCAAAGACAGTAAAGTTTCGTAACTTTGCTACATCACTGGAGAACAAACATTTGAATTCATGCTTTGTGTATATACGTCTGTTGTGTAATGCTTGATAACATTGTCTAAAAACCCAAATCTTGATAGCTGAAACGCCATTTGAACCCTGACTTAGCAACGTTGAACTTTTCACAAAAGTACATTAGTTCTTGTTATCAAATTTCGGGAAAGTACATATAGAAGAGAAATGCTATGAAATGTATTGAGAGAGAGAGGAGTAGTTAAGATTTCCAGAATCTGGGCGATACATAACAAAGAGTGAACAAATCCGCGCCAATGTACACAAATTTGAGCTATTTTACCAACAGTCTTCAACTACCGACTCTTTGGATTGATATTTATGACTTCGTGATTTGAATTCAAATGCCTGAACAAGTGCACAGTAACCTCATTTATAAAACACAAAATAATCGAGCAAAGAATATTCTTTTCGATAAATCCTTTGCTTAACCAGACGGGATGATGTTCGGAAATTCGACGAGAAACACGCCTAATTGTACGGCCTGTGTAACTGGCATGCTCCACAGGAGCAGTTAAATTGGTAGATACACATGGAAGAGGCGAAATTAGGCAGTTTGTCTTTTATTCCCGAACGCAAAAGAGGAGTGGTTTTAAAGATACAGCGTAATTCAGCAGCAGGGAATGCTCTTTCTACCGCATTTCTAAGGTGCTGTGTTAGTATCTCGCTGATGTTGTCCCCAAGAAACTGCATTTGTAAGAATAAGGCCTTTTGTGGAACTGTTGGTTCCTTGGGCTGCTTTGATTTTACATTCATATTCTTATCAATAAACTTTTCTGGATAACCATTCTCACTTAGCAACCGTTTAATATTGTTAAGTTCCTCGTCAAGACATTCGTCCGAACAAATCTCTCTTGCTCTGTGGACCAAGCACTTTATTACATTGCGTTTGTATTTCAAGCGCATGAAGCTGAGAAAATGAGTACAGTCACAGTCAGTTGATGTAGGTTTTCTATAAACACTTCTTCTTATTGTGCCGTCCTCTTTTCTGGTCATAAGGACGTGTAGAAATGAAATACTAGAGTCTTTTTCTTTCTCAATAGTAAAATTTATTGCAGGATGTACCTCATTAAATTTATCCAGGATGTTCTTTGCTTCCTTTTCGTTCTTCATAATCAAAAAAGTATCATCCATGTACCGACAATAAAATTTGAGTTCATTAATAACATCCTTCAAAGGCCCATTTTCTAGTTTCTCAAGAAAAATGTCGGCTAGAATGGGTCCTAGTGGTGACCCCATTCCCACACCATCGATTTGTCTATACAGTTCCTTATTAAATAAAAAGTGGACATTCATTGTACATTTCAAGAGAAGCTCCTTCATGAAAGATATAGGAATGCCAACGTCGATGTTTCGTCTTATGAGTTCTTCGCATACAAAGTTCACTGTTTCCATAAGTGGTACATTGGTGAATAAGGAAGATATGTCAAATGATATCATGAATTTATTGTCAACATTTAAATCTTTTATCCTTTCAACAAATCCAAAAGTATCCTTTACACTGTGTTTCACCAACTCAGTATGAAGGGGCTGTAAGAGTTCGACTAACCATTGGGCTACAGGATGGTATGGTGAATAAAAGACAAACTGCCTAATTTCGCCTCTTCCATGTGTATCTACCAATTTAACTGCTCCTGTGGAGCATGCCAGTTACACAGGCCGTACAATTAGGCGTGTTTCTCGTCGAATTTCCGAACATCATCCCGTCTGGTTAAGCAAAGGATTTATCGAAAAGAATATTCTTTGCTCGATTGTTTTGTGTTCTATAGATGTCTGAGTAACCTCATTGTTTAATGACACATCTTGGATGACTAAAACTGACTCCTTGTGGTCTGCATTCAAGAAACCCATCCCTGTATCCTTCTGTAAAGCTGTTAAAACTTACTTGAGACGCACACAGTCACAAAACGCTTCAAAATAGCGAAAAGATGATTATTCGTTACTGGAAACCTATGTGGCTCTGTGACAGTAGAAAACAAGAGACTTGGTAAAGGAATGTTTATTCGGAATTTGGTATCTCTACATAGCTAAATTATGTACACCTTATCTTCAACGCAACATCTGCACAGATCTTCCGTGTTGTGCTACTTTTGGCCTTTCTCCATATTGTGTTTCTTTGAGTTCCTTTCATGTCTCCCATGTATCTCCACAATGCTGTATCATTTGCTTTCTCTGACACCAAATCTATTTCCCTGCTATTTTATGTTTTAATGCGTATGAACATCGCTTTATACACTACTGATAAATCTTATCAGTAGCACATGCCACAGCTCTCCTCAACAACAGCAATAACATCAAAAGCTCAAAATTACTTCAACAGTGCCCTTAGACAGCTATACAGTCAAGACAAGGTTCTGAGTAGAAAGCAAGCACTGTAGAACAAAATCAGTTGACCAAAATTCAACTGTAAGAAGTACTTGAATTAGAATATTCTCAACAAGTTGGGATCAAAACCTCTGTCCACTAGAATCACACACCAACGCTTCCCGCTGATAATCTTAGATCAGAATCACCTTAATTCACTCAAACAAAACCACATCATAAAACAGCACATCGACAATGTATTGCAAAACCACTGTCGATATGTCGATGACACATTTGTAGTGTGCAACAATGAAAGTCATGCTTCCCACTTACTCAGATTATTCAATGACGCACATACTAATATTGAGTTTTTTTTATGGAACATGAAAGTGATGAAAAGTTCCACTTCCTCGACATTGCCGTGTAACACCTAGAAGAAGTCAATTTATCGAAAGCCTACTTGGAAAGGACAATACTTACATTTTAATAGTTTTTGTCCAAATAGCTTTAAACGCGGACTAGTCAAGACTGTGTACTATAGAGCGAGGAGAATATGCTCTATAGTGAAGTTAGAGGAAGAATTTATGTTTCTTGAAAAGATGTTGAAGAGCAATGGTTACCCTCAAAGGTTCATTAACAAGTATGGAAGATCTGAAGTCTCAAATGTAAAACAAATCACAGTGGAGAAAAAGCCAATCTACATTCAACTTGATTATAAAGGTGAAAACATTGCAGCAATGGTCAACAGAAGACTGAGTACGTCACTAGCCAGAGCCTATCCTGCAGCTAAGCTTGTTCCCGTCTATCGAACAACTTGCTCTTTGGTGCAATCAAAAATCGATAGATATCCTTCTCATGTTAACTCCAACTGTTTATACAAATTTACATGTGTCAGCGGGAGCAGTTACATTGGAACGACAGAAAGAAGGGCATATCTACGATTTTCTGAACATGTACCAAGAAGCCTATGTCTAAAGGGAACAAATGCTTTAAACAGTGCCATCGCTAGGTATCTTCTTGACACGGGTCATGAGGTGGACGTCACAAAATCGTTCAAAATTATCAATAGGCAAAAGAGCTCAAGTTTGCTGAAGCCATCTCCATCAAGCGCCTGAAACCTGATTTATGCGTTCAGAAAGAAACAGTTATCAGTCTTTCTTTGCCCTGGTAACTGGATATTTTTCATCCGAATGCGAGATGCTGAAAAGTTTTCATTGTGTATGATTATTATTGTTCGGAATAGTGTTTAATATTGCATATATATGTATATATTATTAGTGTATGCGTATATTGATCGACTGATTTTTGTTTAAAATGAACTCTGTGCAAGTATGTTAAAATTGTTTTTGTAGATATATTTAATAATGACTGTGGCCTGTAAGCAGCTGATGAGAAGGCAGCGAAATAAATGATGATACGAAAACGTCAGAACAGTGATATACAGGCTAGGAAATAAAAGGATAACAATTACAAAGTTGGTTGAAAAATCCAACTAAGTAAAAAAATATTAGGATTAAATCTTTCAGGAGGGACTTCCTAAACAACTATTCCGTTACAATATCCTCTAACAAAATATTAGCCGTCTGTAGATTAGCCATCTTAGAAACGATACCTTAATTCTCTTGGTTTAGACCTAGAAATACCTTCAAATTGATTTAAACACGCACACAAATTTACTTAAAAGTGATTCAACTTACCTATAGAACAATTTCCTTTCGAATAAGGTCCAACACTACCTCCGCATACTTCACGGATCGTTACTGAATCCCATCCTGCTGGCCACATGATGAAAGAGGCGAGAAGAATTAGATCTGTGTAAAGAGACAAAAACAATGATATTTACGATTACTAATATAAATGGTTGAATGACGTAATCTTGAAATACTCTAGTTATTAATTATGTACATGATGACTACTAGACAAACGCAAACATGTGTACATCCGGATTTCCCTTTTTTTCTCAACGAAGGAGGACTGGTTAATATACCGAAATGATAAGAGTTGTGAGCCTGAGTTCCATGACAAGTGATCTCATTACTTGATAGATAAATTGAGATAGATACCTTCTTCATTTCGGTCAAACACTTCAATCTTTAGAATATGAGACTGACAAAGCAATGAAACGAAGGAAGGGAAGCTTCCAATGTTTGACTGCAACGTAAAATGGAAAGTAGATGGGAAGTTAAACGCTAGTGCCTAAAGGAAATCCACACATTCAAACAGATATTTGGACTTCCGATCATCCCATCCTATGTCAGTGAAAATAGGATTGGTGAAATGTTTAAGTGACAGAGTACAAAACCTAAGTAGTACCAAGGAAAATCTAAGACAGGAAGTGAGGCAAATAAGAGAAGCTTTGAAACTTAATAATTACCCTGATAAATTAGTCAGAAAATATGTAGAGAAATGTAAAAATAAAATTAATAATAATAATATTGACGATGTGCGTGTCAAACATGCGCAAGGTAATAACAACACCAACAATAAGGAATCTAAACCATCAGTAGTACTTCCATACAAGGAAGGAACCTCGGAAACCTTACACAGAATTCTTATCAATGCCGGTAAGAATAAAAGAGGCTGGCATTCAAACCACCCACAAACTCAATTAGAAACAAGCTTTGTTGGTTAAAGGATCAATTCTGTGGAGCCTTTAAAACAAAACAATTTAGTTTATCTAATACATAGGTCAAAGTAGTAGAACAGGGGCAGTCACACTAGCTGAACTTAAAAACCTGGCAAAATCTAGATTGGTTGACCCAAATAAGATAAGAAATCTAGAGAATAGTTCAGCTATAGCACTACATGCAGTTACACACAACCATACAATAGGATGGGATAGGATGACAGTTTTAAAATTAAATGTAACAGGGTGGAGGGAGATATTGATAACAACGGAAGCTTTGTTTATCGAATCAACTGCGAATATGTGTCATAGGAATGATTCAACACCTGTCCACCCAGATATCTGGAGAATTCTACTACCCATACGACAAATAGGAGAAGACAAAGAAAACTGTAAAACTCAAGTTTCAAAGTCGTGTGATTATAATTGATGAAATGATTATGAACAATAAATTTTGTTCGAAACGTCATCCAGTAAATAATGCTGTTTTATCACTGTGTGTGATATATCTAATAAACAAACTAATATGGAATTACTTACCACCACAGTGCCCAAGTTTTACACATATATTAAGATCCAAACTCCTTAATTCATTCAGTAGTAGCTAAATACAGAGAAACACAACTCCCGTGTCTATCACCTTCACAGAAATAAACCTTTAAAAAAAGTACTGGCAAAAGATGTAGTGGAATAATTATTAGCCGGAAAAGCCAACCTGAACAATCTATTTACAATAATGATGCTTATTTGAATATTGTATAATTATTACCCCTCTGTTCTTTGACTTATCTATCATCGTTACATGGTGTACATGTTTTATTGATTTAAACGTTATTGTCGACCTTTGTTTGTGGGTGATTCACATTCTTAATGCTTCGCTTTACTATTGAGTGATGGTGAAATATTGATGATGAATGGGCAAGAGTAAACAATAGACACCAAAGTCGAATGACCTTCAGTCAGATCGCTCAACATTACAAATGAACGCTATTCATGATAATCTTTGCAAGTTTCACCTAGATTTAGTTTTTGACTTCTGTGTGGTAAGTAGCTTGTTGGGGAGGACTAAAAGATTAATATGTGGAGGGGCAATAACTTTGCAAAAGTAGTGCCGGGCTTTCGATGGTCATACATTTAGGTACAACCACTGCTAAATGAGCAAGTCTGAAAGAGAAGGCTAGTCATAAATTATGATGATATTTTAGGTACCTTCCTCTGGAAATCGAAACTTTTCCTTGGTAAAATATGATAAACAGCCACTTAGATGAATTTTCGTATCGACACTAGTTTTATATGTCTGCAGACAATCCTGGGACCGATTTTTACAGCATATTAGGGATATATGTTCTGTATAATTCATTTTTGTAACATGTATATGATAAATACATTTTTTGCAGATTAAATACCTACTTTTCACGTAGAACCTGATGGGTTCTTTCAACGTCGTCTGAATTTGCTGTCTATTCTTTACTGTTGCTGATGAATGAACTCAACGTTACCTTGTGGGGAGTTTTTGACCTTGGTCTGTCAGTGGGAACATGTTTTGGCGTGTTTCATTCTTGCCGACAGAGTTCCGATCACACCATTCTGGGAAATATTCTACTTAATTCTTAGGCATTTATTACGGTTGTTTTTTGGTGGACTAATTTTGTTGCACAGTACTTGTTTTGTACTTGAGAGATTCTTGAAATGTATTAATGCCTGACGGTGTTGTTGAGGTAATCTTATGCTTGTCATAGATTATTAAAATTTCCATGTTAGACCACGGATTGAAATCAGTCAGAGAACCATTGAAAACTAGCGCTGGAGTACTGGACAGCTATTTCATCCTAGTCCGGTACTCATCGGCAGTGTGCATCCATTGGGTTTTGAACCCAGGACATCCCGGTTACAAGGCAAGCTCGTATACCATTCAACCACTGGGATCCGATCCAGTGACCAGCCCATGAATTCTAACTTCTACGAGTTCGTCATCTGTTTTAGCGCGACCACTAGCCAATGTCATCGGTGAGAGTTCCATCCTCACGCCTGACTGGATGGACTCCACTGGTCACGACTTCTCACTGGAACTCCAGGAAACTCAGTCCTGTAGCAAGTCACTAGCGAGGATCAATTCCATAGATTTTATGACATTCAGCTTGTTTGTTTTGCTACTTTTGGGATATTTTCGGGACAGTGAGAGTTACTCGCGGAATTTCGGTCAGTTATATACAGAAGGACGCATCGATTGGTTGTTTCCTATGTGTAGACCAAAATGCTTGATTTTCGGTCGTTACAAAAGATAATATTTAGACTCAAGACCTTTCTTCTATGGCCTTTCATTAAGTAAAGCATACATGGCGTATGTTAAAAGTTCCTATTCACTGAGCTCCACTACATGTAATGTTCACAAGAGTAGAAATGTGATAGGTAAGATTGTAAAGTGAACGATTTAAGGTTAATCGCTGTTTAGTCTCGAGTATGCGACGACTTTATTAGTATACTTCATAGCAGTGAACAACTGTTTCGTTCTAGTTCGAGACTCTTCAGAAGTACGCATCCATGGCCTCACAGAGAATGCAACCCAGGACATTCTGGTTTCGAGGCCAGTCCGTCACCAAACTGTAATCTGCTTTCTGAGACATACTGCATATCAAATTAAACTCATTTCTAGGTAAAAATCACTCTGAAATCAATTTGGAAATCTTCTGCGTTCAGCACAAGGAATAAGACTCAGGTTGTCAACACCAGCGTTAAGTCACTTCTTCTATACATGTCAGAAGTTTGACCGGTGCATCACAAAGGAAATTTCCAACACTCTAGTGCAGACTTTTATCAACAGCTGCCTACTTCGCCTCATACTGAGGATCAGAAGGCCGGCTAGAAAGAATCAGCAACAAGAGACAGAACGGACACGCTCTGAGAAGATCAAACACATGACATAGCGCGCCATGCCATTACTCGAATAAAGAACGAAGAGCTAGGTGTGAATCCGAGGATGAAAGGGAGAGGATGGTGCGTAGATGAGATGGGAGACTGTAGGCAATTGTGGGCCCAGTAAAAGAGGACTGCAGACAATAGGACAAAGTGGAGACGTGCTGTTGAAGTCCTACGTGCCACTCGGAACTCAAGGGAACAATAATAACAATGATAAATATAGGAAGATTTATGCAATTACAGTGACTTAACACAGTTGATACACAGAGAATGTCGTCATCTTAGCAAGTACACCGATCAAATAATTTAGTTATTTTCGAAAAAGAAGATCTACCCATAAATCTAAGGAATCTACTTATATGTGTTTATATATCAACTGAGTGATTGCATACCAGTGGGATACGGTTTAGCTTACACCGGATTCACTTCTACGCGAAATACATCCTCACTCTTAAAGAAAAACCATAATTCATCGAATTTTTCAAATTATTAGATGTTGTGAAGTTTATCACACATACATGTGTATCAGTGTACCTATTCATTTTTGAAATCTTTCTATAAGGTCACTTTTCCACAATATTAGGTAACATAACGGATAATAACAAGTTGTCCTACTGTGTTTCTGCGTAGAAAAGCATCTGCTCTCCCCTCCATGTCCTGTCACCATGGTCTTGTCATCATAATATTCACCAGTCGGTATTTTCATTTATTTACGTTATCTGATTTCTTTCGAAAATTGAACATATGTAACGACAGAAGAAATAGTAGTATTTGACAGCAGAAATGTTTATTCAGTAAACTGATGTGTAGTGATAGCTTTAATATAAAAAAAGCTTGCAACACACTAAAACTTCATTTTGAAAAATGTTATTCATACTCTATTTGTTTTGTCTTTAGTCCATACCTTCTATATTATTGTCGTGTCATCCTGGAGAGATTAAAAGATACACTGAATGCAGAACTCCGTCCACCAGAACTAGCTGGATTCAAGAAAAGTAAACGTGTGATGATCGAATAGCAACTCTATGCATCATCGTTGAACAGAACATAGAATCCTAGTCGAATCTGTGCCCCAATGCCATCTACCATGAAAATGCCTTCAACAGACAGCGTTGATCAAGAATTAATCTGGAAACTACTTCAACACTATGGTGTGCAGTGCCTCATATCCTTATGAACCTCATTCAAAAGTTAGCTATATTATAATGCCACATGCCAAGTGACTCACAATGGAAACCTCAGCGAAGGCTTTGAAATGAATACAGAAGT